CCGGGCAGGGAGCAGGACCCCCTGCCCCTCCGCCCCTGCACGCAGCCGGCCCCGGCTGCTGGCACAGCCCAGCTCATGCAACACATTTCTGGCTCCAGCCTGCCTTAATTAATATTTTTAATTACAGAATGAATATGCTGACACGTTCTGCTTACAGGGCATGTGAGATGGAGGAATGTGCCAGTGCTGACATTACTGTTAAATTTTTGGAGGATGTGGGGGCCCGGCAGCCCCAGCCGGGAGCAGGGATGCTGCGGGGATGGTGCGGGGAACGGAGGGGAGAGGGGGGAGAGCAGCGGCGGAAAACCCGTGGGGAGGGTGCCGGGGAGGAGCCACGTCGTGGGAGAGGAGCCAAACCCTCACTGGAGCGCTGGGACTCTACGGGGAAAATCACCCCCGGCCCTTCCTCGCCATCCCTGGCACCCTCCTCCTCATCACTTCCCCAGAGCTTCACGTGCTGCCCTGCCTGCACGTGGCACCCATGGGCACAGCTGGATACGGCCCTGCTCCGCACAAGCCAGGCCCGGTGCATTAAAGAAAGCAATACCCAGTATTAATATTTAATTCTCTCTAAGCAGCTCATCTCGGTTAAGCACCCAGCAGCCCGTCCCACGGTCCCTGGGCAGAGGGAAATGGCATTTACCACCAGCTGCTTCTGCTGACATTTGATTGTTCAAACAAGGCCCAGCAAACACAAAAAGCTACAGTGAAATATCGGAGCATTTAATAAGATCCAGCCAAGCCCTGTGAGCGCTTGGGATAGAGACGGGATTTTAATAAAAAGGCTTCTTTATGATCAAATTAATGGGTTAGTATTCCCCACCCAAGCAACGCCATTTGGATTTTCTTTTTTTCCCCTCTCAGTAATGGGCTTTGCAGAAACAAGTCTTTGCAGATGCTTCCTGCACACGAGCGGCTGAAGGTGCCGGCAGGTGCCGGGAGGTGCTCGGTGCCCACGGGGCCCTGGCTGATTCGGTACCTTAAAGGGCACCGTGCAAAGGGCGGTTTGATATCCCACCTGGAAAGCAGCAGGGAAGGGAGGAAACTGCCGGCCCAGGGCCAGCGCCCGCAGGGTCTCTCCGGATGGGATGGGGAGCAGAGCCGAGTGCTGGGGGGGAGCAGAGCTGAGCCCCACATGGCACCGCCGTGGGACGCAGCCAGCCCCGAGCCCTCGCAGCATCCGAAGCCGGCGCCTGCACGAGCCTCTTCCCAAGCATCCGCAAAGCCTCTTTTCACACCCAGAAATGTTCGGCCGAGATTTCACTCACAAACAGGCGCCTGAGCCCAGGAAACCTGTCTGTGCACCATTTATGTCTCCCAGCGCAGGTAAAGAAGCTGCCGCCTCCTTCGCTGGAGCCCTGCTGCACAGGGAAGCTGCTCCGTGCATCAACACTGTCTCTCGTACTTCCTCGTCGTCGAGGTGACAGAAAGCCACTAAAGCATGATGAATCCATTTAGAAGTGAGTGCCTCAAGGCGACGGCATCGCTTAAGCTCAAGAAGGCAATCAGACTGGGCTTATAAACAGGGAAAACTCTTCAGAGCAGCATTTCTGGTAATAGAGGGGGGCCAGGAGGCACAGGGGATGAGGGATGGAGCCACAGCGGGAAGGTGCAGAAGGGAGGCTGTACGTGGAGCATTTTCCCACTAGCAAATACTATTAATCTAGACTAATCTAGAAAAACAAAAAAAGCAACAGAGAGAGACCTCACCTTCACCACCACCAAGAGCACGACCTGGTACCAGCACCTGCACACGCCGAGGGCAAGAACAGAACCTCAAGTGCTTGAGGCTGGGCCAATACTCTTTGTTTCTTCCCAAACTTTGCACCAGAAGCCTGACCTTGCTGTAATTAGCCATCAAATATTTCACGCTGCCTCCTTAGGGACAGCAACAGCGAGCCCCCAGCAGCAGGTTGTCCGTGGCCACCCAAGTGCATCGAGAAATAAAGTGCTGTTGGCGTACTCGCAGCATGAGGGTCCACCAACTCCCTGGTCTAAAGGCTTGGTGACACCTCGACAGGAGCAGTAACTCCTCTACCCCGTGGATGAATGGCCTGACGTGGCAGCTGGCAGGAGATGCACAGGACCCATCTGTCCTGGCAGGTGCAGATGGACAGACTCCCCTCGCCTGCACCGGCTCTGGAGCGTGTGCCGCTCACGGGACGGCTCCTCCACTCGAGGCCAGCGGCATGGCGGGGTTTGACCCCTCCCAAACCAAGGCAGGCACGTGTACTCCTCTTCCCTGAGATGGAAAACGCATGAGCAGCCACGAGAGCAGGACCAGAACCCCTCTGCTCCCCCCTCCCACCCTCTGCTCGTAAGTGGTTATTACCGTGGCACAAGGTGCTCCGTCCTGTTAATCTTCAGTTCAACCCAACGAGAGCTACTCGGCAAGTTGCTTAGAGATACAAATTCAACCAGATGAGCTCTTGAAATATTTACTGGCCTAAAGATTCAAGCCGGTGAGTGCCAAGATGTCTTTCAACATTTGCACTTCTCCATTGCCAAACTCCACCTTGTTTAATAGGCTGAAAGGCTGAGCGCTTGGTGTTTAAATAGCTCCTGCCGTTTTTGGAAGAGATTAGTAAAGTACAGAAGCAGCTATTTAACATTCAGGAAGCGCGACGCATACATGGGAGTTATCAGTCACTCCAGGCAGATGGTAAATGTATTTCCTTTCACCACAAACTGAGCAGCAAACATTCAAATTCATCACCAAGACAACTTATTTAAATCCACTTCTATTTTCAATTCATACGTTTTTAACAAACTGCTAAGTAATGAAAATCAATATTTTCACCCAAGCAGTTGGGAGACAGTCCTGAAGCTCTGCCCGGCTGCGGAAGATTTGCTCTATGCATTTCAGTCACGCAAAATTATTCACGACCAAGTCAAACGTGGCATCCTGGGTGCAGGTCATGTTTACAGCCAAGGAGGCACCGACTTTCCGTCGACCAGGGAAAGTTAGCCCCGATTTAACGGCACTTCTGCATCAAGGTGGAAAGTGTCACTTCAGGCATGGAGCGGCTAAGGCAGAGGTGACCTCAATCCCAATTTTGGGGGGGAATTTTGATAGGACTTGCACATTCCTAGCTGAAAACAGGAGTTAAGAGACTTGTGCATTTCTTGCGCATTATAAGCAACCTCAGCAGACCACCTGTCGTCTTTGTTAGGATATTTTTTAGTGACCAGTTAGTTAAAATTGTTATTTAACAAAAATCATATGAACTCAAAATGAGATGCATTTAGCAGAAATAACTCACATCAGCAACATACTGCATGAGCTTTGCTTGAGCAGAGAGAGAATATACATCTGTGGTCCTTATCCCAAATCAGCAAACTCCTAACTGTTGAAGAAGGAACGTTTGCCATCTTACTTAGAATAAAAACCTTCTAAAATTCCCTCAAAGGAGACACCTCAGAACGACTAAGACGATTGCTCATCAGGGCTCATCTGCAACCACACGTAGAGCAGAGGGTACCGACTGAAATAACGAAAATGCCCCACGTTTGTCTTAAGATAAAAAAATTTATTTTACAGTCTTATAAAGCAGCTTTACATTAAGCACAAACGTTGATCCATTTACTTCGTATATAAACATAGTAGAACCTTTCCCTCTGCAAAAAGTCATGTCTCGCCGTATATAAAACTAACGTGTGCACATTGTGCTTAAACTGCAAAGTCTGTACAGCTTTACAAAGGACTACCCTTTACAAGAGCATCCTGTAAACAATTTATTGCATATTTAACACATGGTGTATATCCCACATGTAAAAAAAAAAGTAGAAAAAATAAAGTACAATTACAAGGTGAATGAAAATAGCAGCTTTCAGTGAATGTCTTGCACAATGGCTGAGAAAAACAGCACTGCCACACTTGTACGGTTGTGCTTGTGTGTCACTGGTTTGTATATACCCATGCGCGCTATGGTTCCGATGAAGTCTATGTACAGGAAGCCTCATGGAAAGATTAAAAAGATCTTAGCGACAAAGACCTTTGTCAGTTTGAAGACTGAAAACAAACATACAAAACCCAACTTAAGTGAATTTGGTGAAGTTATGGGCACCAGTGTCCAACAATCCTCCTCCACTGCACAATTAAAAACAATAACAGGAGAAACCCCCACACTAACTCTCTTCGGTTCTACAACCTCTGATGGTGGTCGGTTTAATTTACACGTGTGCTAAGGCCAACAAAAACGCGATGGAGATGTTAAGGATAAGGTGGTCTGACAGGACCGACGGCGTTGGCATGGCCAACCTATGCTTCTGAGCTCACCTATCCAACAGCTGCCGGGCTGACTCTCACGAAGCACTGAAAGATCAGTGACACTGCAATTTTTCAACTGGCATTAATTAAAAAAAAAAAAAGAGGAAATTGTGGCCTCCATAAGGCACCAATGCCATCTCTTGAGCAGTACCCAAAGAGAGTCTCCCTAGATTCTCCAAATCCAAAATGGGCAAAAGATGGAAGAAACAAACAGGAGAAAAATGTTTCTGTGTTTGCAGTTAAGGACCAGTTGTTCGTAAAGGAAGCACATTTTTCTGGGTTTTGCGTGTCTGTGTGTGTGTGTGCGCGCGTGTGTGTGTATACACATGTACGTAAAAAAAAAAATTCACCTCTGCTACCTTTGGTATTGAAATTTCTCCTGTGACATCCACTTCTCATATTAATTGATATGATCGTAGCATGCGTTTGCAAAGATCAAGTAATTACGAAGTTGTTTCAAATATCTGCAAGAAATACAAAAAGCATCAAAAAGTAAAGAAAAAAAAAAATCAAGATGCATATTGTCCTTGTGCCCAGCCTTTTTGTGATTTGAATGAACTCTGTCCTCAGTATGATCATCTTAAGCTTAGCACCCACCTACATGTACAACATGTAGGAGGATCAATGGAAAAACCCCAAAGCTAATACACGTCCTTCCCACGCCGGCACACGTCGGGGGCTTTCGAGTCTGGGACCCCCACAGCAAACAGCAGCAAGCCTCAACAGAGCTGATAACCCGGTATTTGCTGCGCTACCAAACTAAACACCCCTGACCTAGTGATGCAGTCGGTCGGTTTTACTCCTCTGGACCAAGCAGGAAGCCACACGCCGAGAAGGCAGGCTAACGGTGGGTGTAAAGGATTGATAAATAGGAAAAAGAAACTGCCTGGTTTCTTCAGCATTACGGCAGTACAGTGAAAGCGTTTGGGTTCGGACGCGTGTGTTCGGTTATTGCACGAGTACCTCGCTCGCTTGGCAGAGCCACGAAGACAAAGCACACCCAAGAAGCCAGTGCTGGAGATGTAACGGCCCCGTACACGATGAGTAAGACAGGCAGAGGTGAAACTTGGTATTAAAGCACAGGTGGAGCTGGAAAGCCCTCTGGGGTAATTTTAATTTTTAACATGCTTGATATACTCAAGCATGTTAAAAATTAAAATCACCACAGGAAAACCTTAATTAATTCCAACTGAATTTCCTGTGCGCTACTCAAAATGAGCTCCACGTCACACTCAGGAATTCAAGTCTCCCAAAGAATGAAGTTGCCAAAGCTTAGAGAAACCTCTCAGATGTAATTAAAAAATACAGTACAAAACATCGGGCTCCACGACGAGAGATTTCAGCTACCAGGGAGGAGATGACACCAGCAAACCTGACGGGCGATGGTAAATTTGGCTTTAGAAAAGGGGGGTGGCACGGTTGCAGGCTTTGTGAGGTCCGCGAGCCCCACCGCGTTGTGCTTACGTGACGTGACTTTGAAGCCTGCACGCTGTCTCCGTGTTTTCCATCCACATGTCTGTAAAGAAACCATACAGCTAAAGGATCTCCATACGGAGAATTGAACCCCCCCCCAAAACATTGTGTATTTTTCATCCCAAGAAAAGAACCCATATTAAAAAATAAACCTTTAAAAAGATACACTGTCCACTACCCAGGCTACAAGTAAATACACATTTACGGCATTACACCACATGATCTGTTATGCTGTTCCAACATATACACATATAACTCCATTTTAAAAGAGGCCACAGACTAACTTTTCAGGCAAGTGCTGGACTTGAGAGACCTGTATGGCTTCTGCAAATGTTTTCCTACAAAAAGGAAAAAAAACCAAAAACGTCCCCAAACTCAGGAGCACAAAGGGGTTTTGCTTTGTGCAGTTAGTTTCGCTGTGGAGCACTAAGGACAGGTGAAGTTCCCGAATCCTACCCATCAGACCCAAATATTTTCACACTGGAATGCAATGATTTCAGGAGATCAGTTTTAAGGATCACTTCTTTGAAACGGTCTGTAAAAAATTTAGGATGCAACCTTTGAAACTGTACCTCTGCGAGGCAGCAGGACTGAGGGGTTTGGTTGTAAGCTCTAGTTGTGCTTTGCCCGGCCGCCTCGCAGATAGCTCTTCCACCTCTTGACGAACTCTTTGAAGATGGGGGACTCGTCTATCGTGCTGAGGAGCTGGAGCTGGTTGATGTGGGTGGTGTGATAGTCCCATCGGGCCAGGTTGGGAGCGGTGCCGAGCATGAAGTGCCGAAGGTCGTAGATGGTCCCTGAGCCGGTGTCGTAAAGGGGAAGCATGGCCTTCAGGGACTCCATGCCCCGCTCGTAGAGGACCCGCGCCTCCTTCCCCAGCTTCTCCCCAGCCGTTTCTTTTAAGTCATACAGCCCGATTAAGGAGTACATGAAGCCGTTGAGCACGAAGGAGCTGGGTGAGGTCGGGTACTCCTCGTACCAGTCGTGCCGGTTCATGAAGACGGCTTTCACCCCGCGCTGCTCCGACGGCAGCTTGTACGGCGCCGTTGCCCGCAGAGCCGAGCTGAGGAACACGTGGTCCTTCGTCAGCAGGTACGCCCGCACCAGCGTTGAGATGGCCTGTCCTTGCGCCATGGCCGAGTACCAGCCTGGGTCCAAGGACTTAAATCCCTCCCCCAGCTTCCTCATCACCATGATGGGCCAGCCGCCCCTCTCGTCCTGGTCCCTCACCAGCCAGCTGCTGGCAGCAAAAAAAGCCGCCATGTGAGCGGTGGCCGAGATGGTGACATTATCGAGGAAGCCTCTACCCTTCGCTATCAGCCTCACCACTCTCTTGGGCATGATTTTGGTCTGCTTCACGGCTTTCGTGTTCGAGAGGCCAACGCCCTTCCGCAGGTCGGTGACCAGGTCCCTGGTGAGGGTGCTCCAGCTAGTCCTGGGACCGATGCCGTAGTAGATGTCTCGGTCCTTAAAAGCAATGAGCTGGGTGTTGGAGACGTAGTGCACGGTGAAGAGCTGGTTCTTCTCCGTCGTCTCAAGAACCACAGAAACGCTCCCGTTTGTTACAAATTTGAGATCAAAAGAAATAATAAAATCTCGGGTGTTCCCAAGCTGCAGAGATACCCCCTCGGTATTTTCTGCAAAACAAACAAAAAAAGCCGTGTTCAGTGGTAAAGCACTCATTCCTCCAAAACGTTTAAGCTATGAAGCACAGCTTCCAGAGGTAAGCCCTCTTACCGGGCAGGATCCAAAAGCTTTTAGGGCAGCCCATCAATAATTCAATCATTCTTTCTGTGTACTATCATATATTATTTAATTAAGGATAAATCAGTGAGCGAAGGCCGACTCCCGCAGCACCGGAGAGAACTCATTTGCATCTTACATTAACACGCTGCAGCACTTTGCTGCGGAGCAGAAGAGCCAGGGGGCTGGATCGATGGCTTTATCATACGCTTCTGGTACCTGATTGATGGTGGAGCGTGACGGACACCAGCAGGATCTGGGGTAAGGGAAAGGGCCACCAACGGGGGGGTCTCGCTGCTGCTGCAGCTGCCTGCTGGCAGGATGCAGGACAGGCAGAGCCGGACTTTTCCTACAGGATGGGGCACAGCAGCCAAGCTGCAAGAACGTAGATGCTGCGTGATTTTCCTCTTCTGTAATTCAAAATGTAAACCAACAACCACCCTTTTGTCCCAAACTGAAAATTTCACTTGGCAGAAAAGACACCAAAAATGCAGCGCTGCTTGAGCGGTCGCATTTCTGCATAAAGCTCCACTTTCAGCAAAAAAAAGCGGGGAGTGCCGAGAAGCAGGTGTTGAGGATCCTCCCAGGACCGATATTTAAATCTGCGACTTTTTTCTTTCCCAACCTGACAGTTCCAAAAACCAGTGCGCTGATTAGTTTAAAGGGGGGGGAAAGAGAAAAGAATACAGAAAGACTAACGTGTTAAAGTATTTATTAACCTCTCCATTGGCAAAACGCAGTTTAATTAAAAAATATATTAAATAAAGCTCCTAGGCAATGCCACATAATTAAATCCAGTGTTCTCTCACAGGCTAGATTTTAAAATGTAAAATCAACTCCTCCCCAAAAAACCTATACTAGAAGATCAAAGGGCTAATTAGTTTGTAAGGCTGTGTGCAAATCCTGTCGCTTTGAAGGCACAGAGGGATGATAAACACTTAAAGACAGTCATCTTAAATTAACCGCTTTCTATAGAATAAAATTCTCCCGTGCGAGGCAATTGTTTCCTTTCTGCTACTTCTCAATGTGTGAAATGCCCTATAAATATTTCTACGTGCAACCAACGAGTTATGGTCCACTCTCCCTGCATAGCAGAGGCTTTTCCCCATCTCCCAAACTAATCTATGGCATTTTGCATCAAGACCGTTTCCGCGTCTTGCGCTGTACGGTGCTATTGTATGGGACCTATTATTTTGACTGAATGTCATGTTTTCCAATCTTTTAAAGTAAAAGCTTCACTCCTTTGAGTTCTGGAGATCAGCATCTGCTTTGGGAGAAGAAACCGAGCGCTTTGTTACACAACATTTTGCTGCTATGAAAAATCTAATTAAAAAAATCCCACTCGCAATTCCTGTCAAGTAAGTTTTATGGTTCCTTGTAAATGCTTGTGTGATAACAAAGTGAATTATAATAGAAGGAATGATAAATAAAATAGAAAACCCCCACTTTTTTCAAAAAAAAAAAAAAAAAGACTTTTAAGAGGTGCAGGAGAACTAAAGGCTGCCTGTTGTTTGCGCTGCCTTAAGAGCCTATCAATCCATTACTTAAGGCCATCTAAGACGAGTGGATTCATACCGCGGCCTTCGAGCCCCACAGATTACTCTGCCATCAATAAAGGATGAGGAGAGAATACATAACAGATCTTTTAGCCTTTCCTCTCCCTGTATTTATCTACTACAAAGACACAAGAGTGTTCGACAATTTTTTCCCTGGAGACCCAGGCCTAAGGTGCCAACTGAAAATTACTTCATTGTCTTTTTAAGTAATGGACTCATTAATTCTAATGGGTATTGATTGAGGAAAAATACATTACGTCCTTATTAATGAGCCTGTCCTAGCACAAAGGAAACTCTCGCATGAAGTAATGAATTTCCCTGCTAAGTACGAAACAGAACACGGTAAATTGAAGAGACGGCAACAAAATGCATCTTGCACGTCTGCAGGTGAAGGAGAGCGCCCGTGTGCAGCCCCAGATCTTCACCGGCCTCCCACAGTACTCTGCAAATACCTGTGGGCAGCTGCTCCCTCTTGCTGCCTTGTTTAAGGCAACTTGGGCTAGCCAGAACTAAGACCTCAGATTTTGCAAAAATAGTTGCATCCCAATGAAGAGAGAGATCCCGGGTCCAGCCGGAGAGCAGCACATGCTACGCTTGCTCCAGGCTGAAAATAGACCTTATCTATCATCTGTCAACATCTGCTTATCACACGTCAGCGCTATTTCCCAGGCTTCACAACTGGTTCCATTTTTTTCTTTGCTTCTATTTTGAGGCAGAAGCTGAAAGGCTCAGGAAACGTGACTGTAGCTTCTCAATGCCCTCCATGCATACATCCACCCATTTTTTCATTAAAATAGTGTTGAAAAAGCAGTGATGGAGAGAAAACCGAAGAAAAGAGAAACTCCAGAGGTGCAGAAATGAGATGACATTCTCAGGTGAGATCTTAAGGATGGGAAGTCAGGCAGGATAAATGAAAACACATTAATCCTAGCAAGTTAAAGCTCCCCTGATACCATCTGTGCAAGTTAACAGACATGGCTCAGCTGCCACGCGTTTAGGATAACCCACCTGGAGCGACAAACTGTTTGACGCTAGTGAACTTGGCTTTATCAGATACTGTGGACAGAGAACAGCCTTTCGGCACCGTCCAGTCCACAGACCTGCTGGTTTTGTCCTTCTCTTCGGCTGTTTCGTACACCTCGATGTGAGGTGGTTTCTCCGTCAGGTTTTTACTGTAGTGACTTAAGCCGTACTGTGCAATCTGGATGGGGTAGAAATAGCCTTGAGGTCCCCACTGCGTGGACAATGGCACACCTATGAGAGAGGAAGAAAATGAGTATTTTAGTGGCACGTTTTCAAAAAAACAGTGTTTGCAGCCATGCACGCTCCTCCTCCTCACTCCTTTACTTCTAGCAAATAATATTTCTAGGTTTCACCATTAGTTAGACTTGAGGAAAGTCCTGTTCAAGGAGTGAATTGCTCCCATTTACACTGAGATCTGTGACTAGCCTAAACTAAGCAGATTTGAGTGGCAGAGAAGTCCTTATCATGTTCTTCCATACATTCTCATTTAATTGTTTACTGAAGCATCATACTTGTTTTAAAATACATTTAAAATGCTCTAACAGATTTTCCCCCCCTACCCCAGAGACCACTAAATCTCCAAACGATGTTACATCTAACACAATCCCTTTAATGCCACATAAATCTTTGCAAATTTAGTGTATATGTTATTACCAGATTTTGGTAAGAGTTATTTGATGCTAAAAAGAGCAATTTACCCAGCATCTACAAATCTGCTCCAATTACCTTGGCTCGCCTCAGAGTATTACAAGCACAGTCTGAAGTGATGCCTGTGGAAACCAGCCAAGCTCTCCGTGCAATACCAGCAGAATACGCCCCAGTTCTTCTACCCAAAGCTGTCCCTTGTCTTCAGAGCTACTGCTCCAGCCCAGCCATCCCTGGGATTAACCCTCCACACACGACTCCCTGTCCCAAAAGCTGGCTGTCTTGCAGGAAAGCACACTTCATTTATGGTTAGGGTGAGCTTAGATTTAAAAGTCTGCCCCGACCAGAAGAACCCCCCCTGGAGCACCACCTCTTTAGAGGACTCAAAGCAGGAAGACCACAGAGAACATCTTCTGTAGCCTGATGGAGTGGATTTCACATGCAAAACCCGTTGTATGAGCTCAGACAATGTCACTTAGCCGTGCTTGATACAAAACTTCCACCCTCCGTTACGATCATTAGCAGAGATGCACCTGCAGAAAACCCTGCTGAGCTCCAGGCTCTCTCCTCTGCCTGCCCTTCGCCAGCTCCCAGGAGCTGCAGCCTCCAGTTTTGGGTGGAAAAACCCTCGTGCTGTAAACTGCCTATTGCATCACTGGCTGCGTGGGAAATGGAAACAAACTGTGTGGAGGAGACTTCTTTATACACATACCTCCATAAGCAAGCAAAGACACGATACTTAAGATACAGATAAAAACAGGATTCTTCTAAAGTCCTGAATTTTATTTGGAACAAATTCCCAACCTCTAAATATGAATCCCAGGTGGGAATATATCATTGTGACCCTCATGCAGGAAACCAAGGATATTTAGTACTGCAAACCTTTGCATGCACGTAAGAAAAGAAAAAAGAAGATGAAAATAAACAAGTTGGCATTTGCATGATCTTCCCCCTTGGCAATGTCAAGCTCAGAAACCAATTTCTTCTGAAATCTGGTACAATGAAAAGATTACTTAAACTAAATGTAAAAAGATACATTTTCATACATATTTTGGTGCTTTGTGTTACTAATAAATGTTACTGATGGAGATGTGATGGCTTACTGCTGCCTAAAGAGAAAAAAATCACAGGAAATATTTAAATACCATGTATTATCTCAACTCCTGGAAGCCAGCTCGCTTATTAATGCTAAACATTTTCAGTTAAGGGTGCATTCATTGAGACTGAAAGATGCAAAAAAAGAAATCTGCTATAAGAGCTTTACTTGAAATTTATACAAGATGACAAGATTAAATTCTCCAGGTCATAGGACATAACAACACATTAACCTTGCAGAAAGAGAGAAGGTGAAAATATAACACGAGGGTTTTTTTCATCATGCAGCAATACGAGAATCTCTGGGGCTGGAATGACGCAAGGCAAGAGCCTAAAACTGTCTGAGAACGTATTTTAATATTAAAACACCTTCCCTACAAACTACAACCATGTCTCTTCCCCGACCTGTTTGCTGGATGCCAATAACTCTATCGCCTTTACAAAATCCAGGCTCTGGCACCACATTTCAGAATGATAGGTCTTAAATCACATGCTGCAGAAAAGCAAGGTTTATAGATAAATAACCACATTGTCGAGCATTAAACTCACTGTCTCTCGAGGTTTAAGTAGAGAGCAGCTACGCACAGCACCTCGTGCGCGCATCTGGCAAGGCAAGAGGCTGCCGAATCTGACCTGGTTCTCAATTAGTTCTTACTGAATTTCAGCTTTTTGCGTGAAAAACATGACAAGAACTGCGGAGTCCAGTTGCAAGGGGCATCTCACACATCTTCCACATTTCATACAAAAACTGGTGGGGCTCCAAGTCCTAGGTCCAAGCCCACCCCCCAACAACAGAAGCAGCACCCGTGGCTCTCATTCATATTCACAAGCTGTATTTAATCAGCAATGACTGTAGCAATTAGAAAGGAGAGCCACCTCCTCAGCCTCTCACAGCAGACGTAAACCCTGAGCAGGGCAATGCTCACACGTCGTGGATGCGTAGCTACCAGGATCCATTTGCACCTTTGGGAGAGCCCCGAGTTTCAGAGCCCTGTTTCCCTTCCTTGGCAGATGTAATGAGGATGAGAGTTAAAAAAATAATAAAAATGTAAGAGTAACCTTAAAAAAACCCCACAACTGACATACCCTATGCATTTGTTTATGTGAATCCTTTACAGACAAATTAATTGCATGACATGCCAGCTTTCTGCAGTGACCGCATCATGGGAAGAGCTCATATCAACACAGCAGAGCATCACCGATCACCGAGATGCATGAAAATTGATGTATTTTATTAAGTAAAAGTTGGTGTTTAATTTATGAGGGGTCACAGTGTCACATTCCATAACAGTTTTATAAAGTCACTGATTTTTTAATATGAAACCTGACAAGAATTTTCTGCGATCAAATCTTTGCCGAGATGCGGGAAGGCCTTGCATCCTAATTACTGATGGCACGGTTTAGCAAAAGTGCAAGTTGGAAAGGATTTACCGTATATTAATTTTATCCAGAGATGCTTCGATGGCTGGAGAACTTTTTGACCCTTCAGCAGTCCTCCGAAACCTCCTCACCTTGCTGTGGCCAGCAGCACCTTTCGCAGGACAAGGCGAGGCGAGGCAGCGCGGTGATGCCGATTTACCCGGACCGTGCACAGGACGAGCTCTGGCAAGAGCTAATCCCACACTGCTGAGCAAAACCCTCCCCGCTTGCTCTGGAGCAGCCCAGTGGTGAAGGTTCGACTGCTGTATCTCCAGCACTGCCCCAGCAATGCAAGGAGACGGGATATCGTTAAACCTGAAGACAAAACCCCGAATATTAAGCTGCCCGTGAGCGGCCAGGCCGTTCCACAGGTGCTGGCAGTGCCGTTTGGCTCAGAGCGTGGGGCTGTATATCTGTGCCCGCAGGGAAGCGGGAGCCTCCTCAGACAGCAGGGCCAGGCTTTTTTTTTTTATTTTTAGATTTTAAAATAACTTGTGGCTCCCTGACAGATACGACAAGTGTCAACAACAATGCGAAAACCTGACAGTAGCACTGTAAGAGAAGCGTCCCAGCACCTCTGGAGTTTGCTGCAACGAGTAAAACCAGAGATCATAGAATAGTTTGGGTTGGAAGGGACCTTTAAATGTCCTCTAGTCCAACCCCCAGGATGCAGGACAGGAGCTGGGAAAACTTGGCACGAAGTGGAGAATGTGCACGATTTCTGAAAGTTTTTTTTATCAAGTCTATCACGACAAAATTAAGATCACTTTGCATCTCAAATGATGGCAGCAAATTTTAAGAAGCATTTCAACTATTAAAAAAAAAAATACTCGACACAAACCTTCAACACCACTTATGCACTTCACTCTGTCTCGAACCTCTACGTTGTAGCCCTCGAAGGACATGAAGACCCCGTCGGGGTGGTAAGGTGCTCGCTGTGTGTATACTTTGGAGTAGCTATGAGAGAATTCAAACCTGTCATAACCATCGTACTGAGCAATTTTCCCATAAACCTCAAAGTATTTCTCTACCCAGCTGAACGGCAGGAAGACCTCGTTGCCTTCCCTCCTCCCTTTAACGGTGTGCTCATCATTGATCAGACAGTCAATCTCCTCGTACTTCAGCCCCGGGGCTTTGTTGCCATTGAAGCCTCCCGCGACGGGGGGAGCCTTCTGCTGCTCCTGGGGCGATGCCTCCTCGCTCTGCTGCCGGGCCAAGTCGCTCTCGGAGGCGGCGGCGGCTCGGCGTTCGGGGCTGGCGAGGCTGCGGGGGAAGGGGCCGGCTCTGTCGGAGGAGCATCGGTTCCAGAGCAGGACCGTCACCAGGGTGAAGAGGGCACAGATGATGATCAGAGTCTTGTAGTTGACCCGAGCTGCCAAGCAACGCATATTCACACCATACCTGCAAAACAGAGAAGGGAGAGCTTTTCAAGTGGCGGTGCTTAAAGCCGGAGCTGTCGGTTCTGCTAATTCGGAGCCCCGGTAGAGCCTGTCCAGTGGGAGCATCGTCAGATGCACACCACGATGGTGTTCCGTGGGAAGGGGACAGGTGGGGGCACCTAGAGGAGAATTTGGGTTTTTCCAGCTCTCCATAAGCAACGAGATCAAATGTACCAAGTCATGATTCACCTCCTGCCTGCGACAACACGTTGTTTCACCAAATGCAAAGGACGCAAAGAAACAGCGGCGAACGCAGGGCAACTGCTTCTAAATGAAAAGCTTGATGTTAATGAGACGCTCAGCAACCACTGGGAATCAGCAAACAAACTCTCACCGGCCTTGGCGCACAGAAGGAAGAGAAGTCCTCAGCAGAATATAACCGCCACCTACCCAGCACCATGGAAGAGGGATTTCCAACAAAACAGCCCTACCGTCAAAACCTAAAGCCTAGAAATATCTGTAGTTCACACAGCTGAAATCACTGAGATAGCTACATAAAAACAGATGGCTATTTTTGCCTTTTTTTTTAGAAGCACAAACTATAAACATTTTCCGAGATGAAAACTCAGCATTCAAGGCTGGATCGATTCGTAACATTACCGCACCTCAAATGCACTTTTAAAACAATAACGTGTACGAAGAGGAGCAAGCGGGCTGGTAACGGAGGACTTTACAGCCAGAGCCCTGGCAGGGACGGTGCCAGTGGCCCTGAGCCAGGAGCCTCCTGAAGAAGTGAAGGAGGGACTGGGAAAGTACGGGACTGCCCCCGGGGACAGGACCTCCACGGATGCGCTCGGGGGCTCACGTGTCCCAGTCCCCCAGGAGGAGGCAGAAAGTATGTAAACCCTCTCTCGGGATTTTCTTTTATTTTTTTCCTGCAAGATAAACCTCCTGCTGCATGAAGCGTGCTCCAACACCACTGTTACAGCCCTGGAAAGGAGCAAGGCTGAGCAGCATGGAAATAAATCCAGAAGTTGAAGTGATCTAAGCACGTTTGCTCAGAAGACCCTACTTTTGCTGAGGAATGAAGTCCTTCAAACAAACGACATGCGCATTTTTCAAATGCGCAGGAATATTTAAGATACACTTCATAAAATCCTTATTAAACAGAAGTTTAATTTTGCCTCCCTAGTAAGCCGCAGTTATCAGAGCTGCCGAGTTAAGTTTTAAATGCTTTGCTTAAATGCAGCCCCATCTGACATCCCTGGGGGCCGCCCGGCGGCTGAGCGAGGGGGCTCGTGCAGCCCCAGACGCACCAGGATGGTCCAGCGGTGCTGGACCTGGCCAGTGGTGATTTCAACACGGTCCTCCAGAGACAGCTGTAGATATTGCAGCTGCTCTGCTGATATGCAGGAGTTAACCATACAGCAATTAAAAGGAGTTTCACCTCGAGTTCCACCCCCCCTTTTTAAATTGAAATAATCAATTATCTCTCACCAGTTTTATGCTTCCATACTGTAAGCACCATCTGGTCATTTAAAACTGGACTTTAAAAGGTAAGCGTCTTATTTTCTGAAAGCCCGGTTTACTACAAGCTTTTAGAGAACATAAATTTATATATAATTGTATTTTTATGGAAATGCTAGCATAAGAATAAATCCAATTTTCTGCATCAGCAGATAATTTTTAGTGATGATGCTTTCAGGACGACCTCAACAAATATGCTCTGCTCTTTTTACACAAAGGGATAATTCACTTTTAAATAGGGAATGACATTTCTGACACACTTCACCCCTACCTATAAAACTCAAAATTAATTAAGCCATCTGGATTACCAGGGGTTGGGGAGAGAGGGAAGGGGAAACACCATCACCGCACTTTTTACATCCCTATTACCCCATGCCCGTTACTCCACGGTTTTAAACAGAGTCCATAGCTGCAAAAAGGTCCTGGCTATGCCATTATAGACAGCTTTTATTTTATTTGGGTTCTGCTGCCTTGGACAGTAGAGAATTAGGAGCAGCACAAAGCATTTCCTATGCTCGCCTTGCGGCTCCAGGGAAGAGCAGGAGATGCTGCAGGTCAGGTCCGGCCGCATCTGCGGCTTCCCGGCAACGCTGCTGGAATACTTAGTTTTTATGAACTATAAATGAACTGAAGGGGACTCGGAAAGAAAAGTGGAGTATTTTCAGAGAACCATCACATTAAGTCACACCAGTCACCGAAAAAAATCTAGAAATATCAGTGCAGGAGAGAGGCTTATTACATGTTAAATGGATAGATGGATTTTTATTCAACTGCAGAAAAAAAAAATCAGAATTTCAACAGTAGAAAGAGGCAATTTAAACCCACAAAGGGACTGTGTTAAATTGGTTTATTTCCTTGCTGCTTTTATGAAAAGGATTTCATCATACCATGCGTAAAAGATTTAAGGAGTACAACACGGGTAAGTAGTTTTAAGGTCTGAATAATATATCCACAAGACCCACGTTTGTTTTCTCCTCATTTTGCAGGATGACATACCTAGCCTCTCTAAGGCTACGCACCGAATCATCTCCCACCTAAATTTGAAGGCACAGGCTGTTCATCATAAAAGTTGATCTTTATCCCTCAGCTACTGCTGGAGCTACAGGTTTTAAAGGGCAAATACTTCTCAGAAGTCTGGCTAAAATTCCTTTAACTCCTATGCTGAATTACTACTGCGAGCTACAGAAATGGCTGCAGCAGAGCGATGCACTGCTGTTATTTACAGCTGGGACCGACACCCGCACTGGCCTACAGCAACAATGCAAATAATCTAGAAATTAATACTTGTTTAGTTTTACACTGTTTACGCTTACATAGTTGCTGTACAAATCATTATATAAATTCTAATTAAAATGCAATGAAATAGCATTTCTTAGTGTGAACAACTAGTTTCAACTGCATCCCAAAACAGGGATGCAATTAGAGAAACTCATTTTGCCAATTCTAGCGAGGTGTCAAGGCTTCTGAAACACTGTTTTTAATATAAAGAACAACTGGATTAAATAAAAATAAAATCTTACTACCACTGCTTTATTAACGATGCCTGGAAAAAGGACAAACCTTGGTATTCCATGCTGTTAATTAGGAATCCACAGTCCCAGTTGTGTATCTGAGAATGACAGATTCAGTTCTGGTACTCAGTTCTTACATAAAACCAAGTTATTTGCATTCTAAAAATATATATGTCTTTCTCTCTTAGGAAGTCCCTTGTAAGACAGGTTTTCTTGATCTGCAAAACTGTGTTGAATGTATTAAAAGTAGGAATTTCTCTGAAGTCCAGACTATTGCCAGGTTTCTGTGTACTCGAGGGGAAAAGTGTGTGTGTGTGTGTGTGTGTACACACACATTTTTTTTCAGTGAGCAATGACTTGACCATTTCCTTTTGATCAACACCAGCATCAGCCTTTTGATCAACACCAGCATCAGCCCAAACAGTAGTTCTCCAGTTCATCACTTCACTCCCTTCCAGGTGTGGGAATTAACTGGAGAACTACCATGATGTTTAGCATTTCTTTGGTTTTCCAAGAACCATTAAAATATAGCTATTTCAATAAACTGTTCTAGCTTCTTTAAGATATCTCAGTGGGAGTTACACAGGAGTGTTAATCTGAAAATGTTAAATTACAGCAGATGCTATATCACATCCTCCTCTGTTAGAGATAAATTTTCCATTGCAGCAAATCATGAGATTGATACAACACTTCCAGGCACAGACGTGTCCACTGAATCCTTCTGACTTTTCTGTAGTGCTATTTATATTCACACTACCTGCAGCTACCGAAGATCTTAAGCTAAACCTAATTTTAACTGAACATCAGAGCCTTTTCTTGAACACATCTGACTACTGACATTTCATTAGCTTCTGTCCTTCAGCTTTCTTTTTTTATAAGTTTATATTATCAACATTAAATTATCCTTTGGCATTATAAAATACTGCATTTTATACAGTCTAACAATGATTGTACTGTCAAAAACCAGTAAGAGGACTTTTTCTTTTTGAAAATCCTGAGACAACAGAGCAAAATTTCAAGCACGGGAATGAAGATGCCTCTCCTCCACCATCACTGTGCTCTACATAAAATACCAAACATCCAGGAAACAGGACAGCCCTGGTATTAAGTCTGAACATCTCTGGAAGAAAAAAGGAAAAGCAAAAAAAAGAATAAAATCTAGAAACTAGGAGAACAGTAACTTCTCCAGTGAACCCTACAAAAAGGTGAAGCAAAGAAGCCGTGGTTCCTCGGAAAAGGAAGATCCCCGCTGCTTCTGGGTAACTTGTGAGGTTTTTATTGAAGGGCTTTTTCCTGAAAGATCAGCCATTCTCTATTTAAGCTGTTTTAGCAGGTCTCTGCTTGCATGTTGTCCTCCCAGCCCCAAAAAGCAGTGCTGCTCTTGGATCCTCATCATTCGTAGCTTACTTTAGTGTGAGCGGGAATAGGTTTGATCCCCTGCGCTCCTTCACAAGCGCAGCGGAGATGGATGCATTTAAGACAAATTCATTTTCATATTGTATTTTCAAAACAGAGATAAAATAATTAACTTACAATTCCCGTTATGTAGTTTGCCTCTTCATGGCCCTTACACAAAAGCAAAATGCAATTTCTTTTCCTGCTGCAAGCTCATAAAAC